GGCCACGGGCCAGGCGGGGCTGGGGACACCTGTGTCCCCCCCAGCCCCACAAGGGCCAATCCTGACCAACCTTTTGCTCTCCTTCCCCAGGCCTTCATGGAGGGCAGTGGTGTTATATGTGCTGGGGTAAGTCCTGGAGCTGGCTGCACCAGTGTGGCACTGGGGGGCAGTTTGGTCATCACCGGCCTTTACTGGGACTGGGGACACCCCAGTGACTGGTGACATCTTGTGGTCTCTCCACAGCAAATTGGTGGCATTGGTGACAGCAAGGTGGGTACCCTGAGTTCTTCTGCTGGGCCCAGACCCTCCCCTCTCATGGCCACGACCCTCCAGTGCACGCCAGTGCATGCCAGTGCACCCAGAGCTTCCCAAGGCTGCACTTCCCAGGGTCCCCCTGTATTCCCACCCATCCCAGGGCACCCCAGACAACCCCAAAGAGCATCATGCCCTGTCCATTTCCTGTCCCCTTTCCCTCCAGTCCTTTCTCTTTCTCATTCTCCATGACTGTGGTGTCCCCAAATCCCCTCCTTGACCGCCACTCCCAAAGCCCCTCCCAAACCCATCCATTCTGGGAACACTGCCCCAGGTTTCTGCTGCCCCAACCACTCCACTTCAGCCCCCATGGTGCCTCCCCATTGCAATTCCTGCCTTCCCACCCACATTCCCCAATTCCCATCCCTTCAACACCCCCAGCCCCATCCCGTGGGGTCCCCAACTCCCCCCAGGTCACTGTCTTTGAGGCCCCCCATCCCAGTCCATCCCCTCCACATTCTCCTCGCTCTCCTGTCTCCATCCCCACCGTGCCCCCTGCAGGAACAGGGATCAGGTGAAACTGGCCCCCGAGGGACAGCGGGGAGCAGAAGGGATTTTCCCCCTCAGGCCAGGGCCAGCCATGGGGACTGGGGACCCCTGGGACCCCCTAAGCCCCACAAGAGCCAATCCAGACTAAACCTTTGCTCTCCTTCTGCAGTTAGGCATGGTAGGAGGTATAGGTGGATGCATTAAGGTAAGTCCTGGAATTGGAGCAGCAGTGTGGGAACTGGGGGCCACTTGGTGTCCCCATGCCTTGCTGGGACTGGGGACACCCCAGTGACCAGTGACATCTCCCCATCTCTCTCCAGAAACCAAAAGGCTTTTCACGGGTGAAGAGGTCTGAGGTGGGTACCTGGAGTTCTGCGGGGCTCAGAGCTTCTTCTGTCCTGGTCATGACACTCCAGGGCACCCCAGTGCATCCCAGGGCACCCCACTGTGCCCCAGTACACCCCAGCATGCCCCAGTATCTCCCAACATGTCCCAGTATCCTCCGGCGTGGCTCTAACCCAACCTTTCTCCCTGGCTGAGCAGGTGGAGCTTCTGCAGGAGTGATGCCCGGCTGCCCCTCTGGATGCTCCGGTGAGAAATCCTGGGGGGTCTCCAGCCCCACAAAAGATCCTCGGGGTCCAGGGTGAATCCCTGAGCCCTCTGGGGTGGGCAGAGGCACGTGGAGGGGGCTGTCCCTGATCCGTGTCCTGGGCTGAGGTGGACAGAGCTGTCCCCAAGACTTTCCTTGCACTGGGGGGCTCTGGGGACACCCAGTGTCCCTGTGGGAGCAGGGAGGGCTCTGGGAGGCTTGGGGATATTCCAGGCTGAGGGGCTCTGGGATCTCAGGAGCCAAGTCCTGTCCCAGGTATATCTGGGGCTCCAAATCCCTTCTCCTGATGCAGGTCCCTGCAGAGGGAGGGAGGGGAACAAGGGACCTCTCATGTCCCTGTGGACACAGCGGGTCAGCATTTGGGCTCTGCCTTTCAGGCCTGGAACTGGTGGTGACACTGGCATTCTGTCCCTCTCCAGCGGCATGAGGAGATGATCATGCCTGGATAACCCCCCTGATTCCCTGGGAGCCCTGGGAATTTCCCTGGAATAATCAATAAACCCCTTCAGCAAAGCAACTCTGTGTATTCATGTGTGTTTTCTCATACCGATGTGTGTGTGTTCTCATGTCCCTGGGTGTGTTCCCTGTCCTGTGTGTGTTCCATGTCCCTGTGTGTGTTCCCTGTCCCTGTGTATGTAACATGTCCCTGTGTGTGTTCCCTTTCCCTGTGTGTGTTCCCTGTCCCTGTGTGTGTAACATGTCCCTTTGTGTGTTCCCATGTCCCTATGTGTGCTCCCTGTCCCTGTGTATGTAACATGTCCCTGTGTGTGTTCCCTTTCCCTGTGTGTGTTCCCTGTCCCTGTGTGTGCTCCCATGTCCCTGTGTGTGTTCCATATCCCTGTGTGTGTTCCCATATCCCTGTGTGTTCTGTGCCCCCTCTCTCAGCCCTGGGAGTCTCCAGTTTCTCCCCCACCATGAACAGAGCGACTCTGGGGCTCCCACGGGACCCTTTTCCTTCCCCCCCAACCTGGTTCCCAGGGATGGGAAGGTTGTGACACCCTGGAATGTCCCCCCCCTCCCAGCTGGGAGGGATAAGGGGCACACAGAGCAGCCTCTGGAGCCCCCAGGGTTGGGACAAAGAGGGAAATGGGTTCTGCCCAGGGCTCTGGGGCATCCTCAGTGTATCCCCAGGGAGCAGAGGTTGGGGTCAGGGCAGGAGTGGATCATGGACAGGAGCCTGGAGTCCTGGCTCCTCTGGTCTGTCTGGGAGTGACAGCACTTCCCTGCCCAAGGATCAGCACTCCTGGGCTCATAGGTGTTGGGAATGAGGGGGTTAAGGATCCCCAGCTGCTCAGATCCCATTCTTGAGGCGCCTCTGCCCAAATTCAGAGGCAAATGGGACCATGCACCCAAGTCAAGAGTATGGAACTTACTGAACAATAGAATGTGAGGGCGAGAAAGGGAGAAGGGAGGGAGGGAGATGAGTCAGAAGGTCAGCACCAGCCATGGATCCAGCAGCGTCCTGTTGATCCTTGCTCCCCTGGTGCGTCTTGGTGGTGGGGGGTGCTGAGGTCATTCTGAACTTTTCCCTCTTTGTCCATTTTTCCAACTCTTAGCAAACTAAGGAATTGGTGCTCATGGGCTACACAGCTCTCCAGTGCCATAGGTTCAACAATTCCCTGTTTGGAATTGGGTGCTAATTACTCCCAGCTCAGGCTGTCTCTTCTCTTCAGCTGGGAGTTTTGGGTTGGGTGGCTGAGAGTCGGTGCTCACCATCTGCCCCTCTGGAATTCCCTTTGACCCAGTCCAAGTGGATTCCAGCACGAGTGCTGCACTGGATTTCCTTGTCCACCACCAGGGATCTCAAGACGAGGGGGTCGAAACAAAACCTCCCCCAAGGTCGGAGATAAGTCCAGGACAATTGTCCTACCTTGACCTTATCTTAGGGTGCTCCATTCTGCGCTTGTCTCATGGCAAAGTCCTCCTGTGGTGACAGTGCTTGGGACGGGAGACTGCTGCTCCTTAATCCCAACACCAGTGGAGCCCCCCCAGCCCCCAGGAGTCCTCCCTGGATGTCCCCAAGGCGTCCCCTAAGTGTTCCTGCCTGGTGACCCCCTGGTGACCCCTTCCAGCCCCACTTCATGCAGGTCCCAGAGGACAATGTGGTCTTTGAGGGTCTGGACTGCGACATCTTTGAGGCTCCAGTTCCAAGGGTGCTGCCAGTGCTGGTCCCCATCGAGATGTGAAATGTCCTCAACATGTCGCAGGGGTGGCCTTCATCATCACCATCATCTTCTAGTGGTGTTGGTGGGTGTGGTAGTTGTTGATCCCCCATAACCTCATAATCTTTATCACCCATACCTCTATCGTCATCACCCAATGCCATCAACCTCTATCATCGTCACCACAAAACCAGCAGCACCATCATCAGTGTCATCTTCTTCATCATCACCTTCATCTTCATCATCCACACCATTGACACCATCACCGTGACACTACTCACAGTGCCATCACCATCATCATTATCATCGTCATCATCACCGACACATACCTCATCTTCATCACTCACGCCATCACCCACACTGTGGTTAAATCCAACACCAGTATCCTCATCCAACACCACTGACACTGTCACCATGACACCGGTAACACCATCATCACCTCTATGAGCTTCATCACCCATACCATCAACACCTTTGTTTTCATCACCCACACCTCTCCCTTCATCATCAATACAATCATCGCCATCATCTTTGTCATCTTTATCACCCACATCATCTTCACCAGCAACCCCAATTAACACCAACAAACCGTCATCACTACCCACCGCCATCAGCACTGTTACCACCCCATCACACATATCATCATCTTCATCACTAACACCGTCATCACCAGTCAACTGCAATCAACACCACCACCATGACACTGACAACACCATTATCATCATCATCATCATCATCATCATCATTACTATCATCCACACCTTGGTCTTCATCATCACCACCATCTTCATCACCCAACTCCATCATCATCATCACCATCATCACCATCCCTTTCATGATGCAGCCATGTCCCCTCAATGTGTCCTCAAATATGTCACCCATTGTCCTTCCCCATGGTGATGCAACCCCCCTCCCCCATCCTCCATCCCCTGTCCATGTCCTGCTGTGTGTCTTACCCCCATGGTGACCTCCAGATGTCCCTGATGAACCCCTCAGCCTCTTGGAGAACCAATTCCTGGCCCAGTCTCTAGCCACCAGGTCACCTGTGTCCATACCTTATGTCCCCTTGTGTCCTCGTGGTGTCCCTCATCCCCCTGTCCCCGCCAGGATGACCCCTTAATGCCCCAAATGTCCCTCCCAACCAGATGCTGCCCTGGGTAAACATCTGGCTGATGGCCTCCATGCTCTGTTCCCACCATGTCCCCTCCCCATGATGACCTCCCAATATCCTCCCCCATGGTGATCCCCCAATGTCCCCATGTCGCCCAGAGTCTGTCAGAGAACCAATCGCTGGCCTGGATGCCACCCTGGATGAACATCTGGCTGATGGGCTGCATCTGCCTCTCCACATTCTGCTCTTCGTCATCCTCCCCATCCACACCCTGCCTGTCAGAGGGGAGCAGGGGGACACAGGAGGGACATGGGGCATGGTGGCCACCAGGATGGTGGCCATGGAGAGATGGTTGATGGCCTTCAGGGTGGTCATCATGGGTCTGGTGGGTGTCAAGATATGAGTCTTGTGGCCATGGGGATTTGGTGGCTATAGGGATTGGGGTGGTGGCCATGGAGAAGTTGGTTGGCAGCAGTGGAGTTGGTGGCCATAAGGCTGGTGGCCATGAGGTCTGGTGGCCTGTGGGAGAGGGGAGTTGGTGGCCAAGATAATGCTGAACATGGGTCTGGTGGCCATGAGTGGGGAGTCTGTGGCCATAGACATTGGGGTGGTGGCCATTTGATTTGGTGGCCATGGAGGTTGGGTTGGTGGCCAAGGAAGGTTGATGGGCCCCAGGGGTTCCACCCTTTGTCCCCCAGTGCCCCCTGATGATGCTCAAGCTGGCGCCGCTGTCGCTGACGCGTTGGCTGATGGCGCTCAAGATCTCAGTCCCCATCGTCCTCCTGGGCAAGACCCTCAAGTTCATTGCCAGGAACTACCTGGAGACAGAGGAGGGGCAGGACATGTCCCCACGTCCCTGCAGCTATGTGTCCCAACCCCCCCATTCCCATGGCCCCATGTCCCACCTGAATCCTGCCCTCTGCTCATGGGTCTCCTCTGTGGTCGTCTTCATGGTCCATGGTCCAGCTCCTCCCTGTCCCCTCTCTCTCCCTTCCTGTGCCCCTTTGACCATCTCCAGGTGGTCTTGACCATCTCCCTGTCCCCTCCTCATGTCCTCCTCATGTCCAACCACGAGGAGTTCCACATGTTACTGCCCATCTCCTTGTCCCCAGTTCCTTCTTCCTGTCTCCTCCACCTTCTCCCTGTCCCCTCCACATGTGCCACAACCATGTCCTGGCCACCTCCACAATCTCCAGGTGTCCTTGACCTTGTCTCCTCCCTCCCTAGGTCCCCCACCATCTCCTGGTCACCTCAACCATCTGATCCCTCTTCCCACCACTGTCCCCATGTCCCCAGCACCATCATCTCCAGGTGACATTGACCATCTCTGTGTCACCTCTACAGTCTGCTGTCTCCTTGACCATCTCCTCCTAGCTACCACCCCCATCCCTGTGACCCTGCCACCATGTCCATGTCCCCAACTCCATGTCTGGCTCCCATCTTGTCTCTCTCCCCACTGTCACCTCCATGTCCGCTCTGCTGTCCCCTCCACCATGGCCTGGTCACCTCGATCTCCTCCCTGTCCCACTCCTCGCCGTGTCTCTCTGGTCCCCTCTTTCCCCCATCTCCATCTTCTCCCCTCAGACCAACCTCAGTCCCGGCCCCTCCCCCAGGAGCACCCCTGGCGCTGTCACCACTCCACCCCTGGCACTGTCACCATGGCACCCCTGGCGCTGTCACCACCGCACCCCTGGCACTGTCACCACTCCACCCCTGGTGCTGTCACCAACGCAACCCTGGCGCTGTCACCACCGCCCCCCTGGCACTGTCACCACTCCACCCCTGGTGCTGTCACCAACGCAACCCTGGCGCTGTCACCACCGCACCCCTGGCACTGTCACCACTCCACCCCTGGTGCTGTCACCAACGCAACCCTGGCACTGTCACCACCGCACCCCTGGCACTGTCACCAACGCACCCCTGGCACTGTCACCAACGCAACCCTGGTGCTGTCATCACTGCACCCCTGGCACTGTCACCACCGCACCCCTGGCACTGTCACCAACACAACCCTGGTGCTGTCACCACCCCCCTCCCTCCCCTGCCTCGTTTGCCCTATCACATCCCACTATTCCTTATCACAGGTACCTCGGGAACGCCCCTGCCACTGTCACCTGCTGTCACCCCATGTGTCAGTCACCCCCGGATATGCCACTGGAACCCCCCCATGTGACATTGAGGGGGTGGGGCAGGGTCTGAAGGGGGCGCAGGTTGGGGGAATCACCTGCTGTCCTCTGGTGTCACCCCAAGTGTCCCCCCCGTCCATGGGGCGCCACCCAGATGTCCCGCAATGTCCCCCCCCCCCGCTCATTTATTGTCAATAAAGGGATTTTCCCCTCCCCCACCGCAAACCGCCTGGTTTTGGTTTTTTTTGGGGGGGTGGGGGCCCCCGGGGCAGCCAATCACAGCCCGGGGTCGGGCGTTGGGGAGAGGCGGGCCACGCCCCCCCAGGTAAGAACCCCCGCGACCCCCAATTCGGCTCCAGTCGCCTCCGACTCCCGACAGGTCAGTGGGGCGCCCCTCCCCCGCCTGGGAGTCCCGGGAAGGGGAGGGGGAGGGGCGGGTGATGTGGCCACCCCGGACCGGACTTTGGACCCCCTGAGCTGGGGGGAGGGGGGACCCACATTTGTGGGATGGGACCCACATTTGGGGTGCCCATGGGGGGCCGGGACCCATTTCTGATCTCCTTCCTGGACTCCCAAATCCACCCCGGGACCCCAATAAACCCCAAAATCCCCCCTGCACCCAAAAATCTTCTCCAAAATCCCCTTAGGACCCCAATATCCCCTCCAGGATCCTCCTAGGACCCCCAACCTCTCCCCAGGACCCGTCCAAAATCCCCTTCCCGGGACCCAATAACTTCCCAAACGACCCAATCAACCCCTCCCCAAGACCCCGATGTCTCCTCACGGACCCTCCTGAGACCCTCAAAACCCCTGAAGACCCCACAAAAATCCTGCTAAGGAGCCACCGGGCCCCCTCCCAAAATTCCCCCAAAGATCCCAATATCCCCCAAGCCCCCTCAAGACCAGCCCAAATTTCCTCCTCAGCTCTTCAATAACCCCAAATCCCCTCCAGACCCAAATATGTCCCTGAAAATCGTCCCTGGACCTCAATATCCCCTCAAGAACCCTCCTGGGACCCTCAAACCCCCCCTGCATCCCCCCAAAATCCCTCCAAGGACCCATCTATCCCCCAACAACCCACCCAAATTTCCCCTTTAGCACCTCAATAACCCCCAGATCATCTCTAGACCCAAATATCTCCCTGAAAATCCCACCGTGGACCCCAAGATCCCCTCAAGGACCCTCCTAGGACCCTCAAACCCCTCCTGCCTCCCCTCAAAATTCCCCCAAGGAGCCCCGTATCGCCCATGCTCCACAAAGACCAACCCAAATTTCCTCTTCAGCACCTTAATAACCCCCAGATCACCTCTAGACCCAAATATCTCCCTGAAAATCCTCCCTGGACCCCAATATCCTCTCAAGGACCCTCCTGGGACCCTCAAACCGCCCCCTGCATCCCCCCAAGGACCCCCGTATCCCCCAACAACCCACCCAAATTTCCTCTTCAGCACCTCAATAACCCCCAGATCACCCTCAAGGACCCTCCTAGGACCCTCAAACCCCTCCTGCCTCCCCTCAAAATTCCCCCAAGGAGCCCCGTATCGCCCATGCTCCACAAAGACCAACCCAAATTTCCTCTTCAGCTCCTCAACAACCCCCAGATCATCTCGAGACCCAAATATCTCCCTGAAAATTCTCCCTGGACCTCAAAATCCCCTCAAGGACCCTCCTGGGACCCTCAATCCCCCCCCCTGCATCCCCCCAAGGACCTCTGTATCCCCCAGCAACCCACCCAAATTTCCCCTTTAGCACCTCAATAACCCCCAGATCATCTCTAGACCCAAATATCTCCCTGAAAATCCCACCGTGGACCCCAAGATCCCCTCAAGGACCCTCCTAGGACCCTCAACCCCCACCACATCCCCTCAAAATTCCCCCAAGGACCCCTGTATCCCCCAACAACCCACCCCAATTTCCTCTTCAGCATCTCAACAACCCCCAGATCACCTCTAGACCCAAATATCTCCCTGAAAATCCCACCGTGGACCCCCAGATCCCCTCAAGGACCCTCCTGGGACCCTCAACCCCCACCACATCCCCTCAAAATTCCCCCAAGGACCCCTGTATCCCCCAACAACCCCCCCCAATTTCCTCTTCAGCACCTCAGTAACCCCCAGATCATCTCGAGACCCAAATATCTCCCTGAAAATCCCACCGTGGACCCCCAGATCCCCTCAAGGACCCTCCTGGGACCCTCAACCCCCACCACATCCCCTCAAAATTCCCCCAAGGACCCCTGTATCGCCCATGCTCCACAAAGACCAACCCAAATTTCCTCTTCAGCTCCTCAACAACCCCCAGATCATCTCGAGACCCAAATATCTCCCTGAAAATTCTCCCTGGACCTCAAAATCCCCTCAAGGACCCTCCTGGGACCCTCAATCCCCCCCCCTGCATCCCCCCAAGGACCTCTGTATCCCCCAGCAACCCACCCAAATTTCCTCTTCAGCACCTCAGTAACCCCCAGATCATCTCTAGACACAAATATCTCCCTGAAAATCCTCCCTGGACCTCAATATCCCCTCAAGGACCCTCCTGGGACCCTCAACCCCCCCAGCATCCCCTGAAAACTCCCCCAAGGTCCCCCGTATTCCCCAAAGACCACCCCAATTTCCCCCTCCAGCACCTCAATAACCCCCAGATCACCTCTAGACACAAATATCTCCCTGATAATCCCACCGCGGACCCCAACACCCTCTCGGGGACCCTCCGGGGACCCCAGCAGCCCCTCCAAGACCCCTCCCCATGACCCCAAATCCCCCCTCCGCAGGCCCCAAGTAACTTCCCTCTCTGTCTCTGCCCAGGCCCCCCCAGCATGGCCCGCTCGCCCCCCGGCCCGGCGCCGCCCGGCCGGGGCTGGGCCCCCGCGCCGCCCCCGCACCGCCTGCGCTCGCTGGCCCGCGCCTGGCTGGACGAGGACGCGGCCTGGCCGGACGCGGCGCTGGCGGCCTTGGGGGACACCGCGGCCCGCGCCGAGCTGCTCAGCAAGGCCGGGGCGGGCCCGGCGGGCGTCCTGGCGGGGGCCCCCTTCGCCGAGGCCGTTTTCGGGGTGTCGGGGTGCCGGGTCACCTGGAGGGTGCCCGAGGGGGCGGCGCTGCCCCCCGGGCGGGCGGTGGTGGCCGAGGTGGAGGGTCCGGCGGCGGGGGTGCTGGGCGGGGAGAGGGTGGCGCTCAATATTCTGGGGCGCTGCAGCGGGGTGGCCTCGATGGCCGCCAGGGCCGTGGCGGTGGCCCGGGCGGAGGGCTGGGCGGGGGTCGTGGCGGGCACCAGGAAAACCACGCCGGGTTTCCGCCTGGCGGAGAAATATGCGCTGGGGGTGGGGGGCGCCGACCCCCACCGGGGAGGTTTGGGGGGACTCATTCTGCTCAAGGACAATCACCGAGCGCTGGCGGCGGCAGCGGGGGGGCTCGAGCAGGTGGGGACGCCGAACTCGGGG